TTTGACATGAAAACCTTGAAACTTAAAAAAGCTTGAAAAAGTTCTCTGTGATGGATTGCAAGAGCAGAAAATTATATGGCTTCAAGATTTGTGTTCTTAAATAATCATATAATTGAATATTTATTTTATTTATCTAACATTTTTTTTGTTTTATATCAAAAACAAATGCATAAAATATCTAACATAGGGGATTCAATGAAACGAAGATCCAACATTTGATCTTCAATGGCAGTGATGACGATGAATTAGATTCAAAATTTATTTTATATTTTTTTACTTTAATATTATGTATAAAAAGTGTAATATTCTGTGTAAACATTGTAGTTTGTAAACAAATTAATTTATTAATATTCTGTGTAAACAATGTAATGAGTATTAAAAAAAGAATTTATCTTTCAGCTTAGTTTTGGTCATAAACCGAGAGGTATGTGGCGGTAGTTTTGAAAATATTAAAAAGTCATTGCTGAGGATCGAACCAATGACCTTTTTAACTATCACCTGGGTTATTTAAAAACCGAGGGTTTAGGTGGCAAGTTATCATGACGCCATTTGTTACCTCGCTTATGTACTCGTGATTAAATCAACTTCGCGCCCGAGATTAAATGTGTTTTTTTGCAGTAGTGTTCAAAATACGACATCATATATGTCCCGAGGGGAAGCATTAAGTCACAAGCTCTGAAAAAATTTTGTGGAAAATTTTAGCTCACCTGTAGACAAAAAGATGCACCTAGAATGGGTGCTTTCTGCGGATGGTGCCTCAAATGTAAAAGGGAGTGGTGCATGAATAATCCTTGAGGGACTGGGCGACATACTCATCAAGAAGGCATTAAAATTTGAGTTAACCAGCAACAAAAATCAGGCGGAGTTTGAGGCTCTTATGGCCGACATGGTCCTAACCTTAGAGATGGGAGCCTCAAAATTGAAAGCCAAAAATGACTCTTAATTGGTCGCCAATCAAGTCTCTAGACAGTACCAGGTGAAATAAGCCCAACTAATAAAATATATGCAAAAGGTACAGAGTCTATCCTCTTGTTTCACTCCTTTTGAAGTTGAACATGTCTTGCGTGAATAGAAATTCATAGTAGAGCTCATGTCAAAGCTTTCCATGTCAAAGACAACACATTTTAATAAGACAGTTATCTTAGAGACTCTCACCTCACCCATCATTAAATAAGACGACGTATACTCCCTAGAATTTGTCCCTGAGTCTAGATGAACGTGGACCATACCGCGTTACCTATAGTCAAACGAACTTCTAGTGGATGAGGGGGGAAGCAAGAAGAACTCGAAAGTAAGTTACCAAGTACATTGTACTCTTTAGGAAGCTCTACAAAATAGGGAGGGCTTCTCCCATGCTACGATGCCTAGGCGAACATGAAGTCTCCCTGGTACTCGAAGGCATATACATATGATCCTGCATCTCTCACGCTGGAAAAAGAAAACCTTGCCCATAAGTTTTTAATTGAGGGGTATTACTGGTCTACTTTTATGAAGGATAACATTGTCTTTGTCAAGAAGTGTGTTCAATGTCAGAGACATGCTAACCTTCACCACACCTCAACTAGACTCATTCACTCGATGACTTTGCCATGACCTTTCTACAATTGGGGCATAAACATCCTTGGCCTATTCCCCTGGCATCGGGTAAAATGAAATTCTTGATAGTGGCATTTGACTATTTCACCAAATGAATAGAGCCTGAAGTTAATCTCATCTGAGAGTGTTAGTCGTTTCTATTGGCAGAATATTGTGTGCATGTATGGGCTTCCTAAAGTTATTGTCTCTGACAATGGAACCTAGTTCGTCAATGTTATGCTCACTGAAATTTACAGAGACTTTGGGGTGCAGGCGAAATTTGTATCTATTGTAAACCTGCAGGCCAATGGAGAAGTAGAATCAACAAATAAAGTAATCCTGAAGGGACTCAAGAAAAAGCTTGGTGATGCCAAGGGTTTATAGGCAGAATTGCTCTACAAGATATTATGGCCATATCATACTACTCTACACACGACCACCAAGGAAACTCCATTCACCATGGTCTATGGAGTGGACATCATATTACATGTAGAGATCGTCACGCCCTTGTGGTGACGATACCAGTTTAATGAGGAAGAAAAGAAGGTTAGATTAGAATACACAACGAACTTGATTGACAAATTGAGAGAGGCCACCCATGTCCAAGAATTTGCAGCCAAGCATAAAGCTTCCCAAAGGTATAACTATAAAGTCAGACTAAGAGAGATGGAAGACGGCGGCCTGGTGTTAAAGGAAGTGGTTCTTCTCACACAGTAGGAAAAACTAGAACCTAACTGGTATGACTCATACCACATATTCTAGAAACTCCCTCATGGAGCATACAAGTTACAAGAGTTGGAGACCATTCTCTCCCAGAACATGGAACACTCCCCATCTCAAATATTATTACAATTAAAGTTATTGGTTAAATTGATTGTTTGTAATATTCAAATAGACACCATGATTATGTACATGTGAATAATTTCTTGAGTGTTTATAATTAACATGGATATTTCCTAAATATTCTTAATGGAGATCCTTGTACCCCCTATGAAGAAATAGTTGCTAGACTTCATAACAAAGATCTTTGCTACCCTTCGAAGCAATATGTGTATGCCAGAATTCATAATGAAAATCATTTCCACACTTCGCGACAAAATTTGTATGTTGGACCTCGTAGCAAAGATCCTTTCCGCACCTATGTGGCAATATTTGAGGAACTTCATGGCGGAGATCCTTTATGTCTCCCAGAGCAATACAAATGAGTTACTCATTGCCTCGCCTAAAGGACTTATAGTCTCATCAGTCAGGCTACATATAACTTCGCATAAGGGGCTTAGGTTCCCCGGGCTAGTTTACTCTGGCCTGAGGTACTTAGTCTTTTCTTGGGTGGGATCAGATAAAGAAATCACGCTTAAGAGGTGCGACCAAATTCTGGCCTAAGAGACTTACACAAAGGCTTATCTGAGGGTTTGATATAAGTCCCGCACGAGGGGTCTGACGCCCCGCCCGAGAGACTTATAGTCTCATTTGTCGGACTACATGTAACTACGCTTAAGGGGCTTATAGTTTTATCAGTCGGGCTACATATAACTTTTTTTGAGTGGCTTAGATTCTCCAAGCTAATTAACTCATGCCTGAGGGACTTAGTGTTTCCTCGGGCGGTATCAGAAACAAAAATCATGCCTAAGAGACATGAGAAAAGTATGACATAAGAGACTTCATCATAAGCCTTGTCTGAGGGCTTGAGAGAAGTCTCGTCCGAGAGGTCCACGCCTCGCCTGATGGACTTATAACCTCATCATCCTGGCTACATGTAACTTCGCTTGAGGGACTGATAGTCTCATTAGTCGTGCTACATATAACTTCACATGAAGAATTTAGATTCCCAAGGCTAATTAACTCTCGCCTGAGGGACTTAGTGTTTCCTCGAGCAGGATCAGACACATAAATCACGCCTAAGAGGTGCGACCGAAGTATGGCCTTAGAGACTTAGCCACAAGTCTTGTTTGAGAACTTGATAGAAGTCTCACCCGAGAGGTGTAATGCCTTGCCTCAGGGACTTATAGTCTTATCATTCGAGCTACATATAACTTTTCTTGAGGGACTTATAGTCTCATCAGTCATGTTATATATAACTTTGCTTGAGGGACTTATATTCTTCAGGCTAATTAACTCTCGCTTGAAGAACTTAGTGTTTCCTCGTGTGGGATCAAACACAAAAATCACGCCTACTAGGCGCAACCGAAGAGACTTAGTCATAAGTCTTGTATGAGGGCTTGATAGAAGTCACGCCCACGAAGTCCAATGTCTCGCCTAAGGGACTTATAGTCTCATAAATCGAGATACATATAACTTTTCCTAAGGGACTTAGATTCCCCAGGATAATTAACTCTTGTCTTAGGGAATAAGTGTTTCCTCAGGCAGGATCAGACACAGAAATCACACCTAAGAGGTACGACCTCAGTCTGGCCTAAAAGACTTAGTTATAAGTCTTGTTTGAGGGTTTGACAGAAGTCTCTCCCGAGAGGTCCAACACCTCGCCTTAGGGAGTACGTCCCACATAAATGTAGGTCCTCGGTATACCTTCTTGAGTCGCGATCTAAAAAATTTTTGTCCTTTGTAAAATGTCTCGTGCTTGAGGGACTACGTAGTGCTATATTTGTAAAAGAACCCGTCTAGGGCAAGGACTGTAGGCCTCCCTAGAAGAGGCAAGGATAATGTGTCACTCTAAGGGAGGATATCAACTCGCCCTAGGGTTTTCCTATCGCCTAATTGTGGGGGGAAAATGGATAAGACGTTTTTTGAGCACAAAGAAGTCAAGGTCTTTAACTAACTCATGTTCTCCTTTAAAATAAGGATTCAATCATTTATATTGGTTGCTTTCTAACATTATACATGATCATAATAGTCAACTCAAATATATTGTAGAGATAGAAGAAAAATTGATGGAGTAGGGTAAAATTTCTCTTAGAGACCCATAATGGACCTAGCATTGGGACCAAAACTGGCTGGAAATTCAAATCATCTCAGAATTGGGCCAGTTGACCCATCACAAGTTTAATTTAAATTTTAATGAAAATTGCAGAGACACGTTACAATAAAGAAAAAAAAAAGCCAAAACTAATTTGAATCTCAGAAAAATACCACGCTGTTCAATGCACATTTTTCTCTGACAGTTGCTACTGAGGATGCTCTGTCTCATTCACTCAGCTACTTCAATCATCACTAACTAAAATTGCAACCTTTTCATTTTATCCTTCCATTTTCTTTGACCCAATTCAACAATAACACTGCATTTCACTTCAATCCCAAAACAATGCAACACATTGCATTGTACTTACCAATGCAGTGGTGATGGTAGTTTAGTTTTGCTTCATTATAGATCTAACCCATCTTGGAGAATCTTAAAAAAATACTATTTTGATTTATGGGTTTCGTTTCTTACTGTGTTTGAAAACTGTTCCTTTTTCTGGGTCATCATCATGGGATCCAATACTAGCAAAGCCACTTCCTCTGCAACTTTGTCTTCTTCAAGGAATTTCAGGAAGAGGGGTCGCTCTAAGGCTCATAGAGGGTTTCATTCTTATTGTCTTGGAACTAGTTCTGGATCTCAAGACAGTGATAATGAAGACCAGGTTTTTTCTTAATTTTCCTAATGTTACTCTCTTTTCACTTGTGCTCATTTTTTACTAGGAACACCCTGCTAAAGATTCTGATGTTACTTTTTGGTTCTGTTCACTGTTTGATTACTTATATGTAAGACATTTTGTGTTTGACTAGGGTAGTTGTCAAATAACCATTTGTACCATTTCAATATAACTAACTGTTTTTTTTTTTTACTAATAGTAATGACAATTTTGTTTGTTTGGTTTGTACAAGGTTATGTGGTCTTAATTGTAACTCATGATGTAGGTTTGTGATCAAAATAAAGTAGATGGCAGTGATGTTACATATGCTGATGGCAATCTATCTGACTATGATGAGGTGAAATCGAAATCTCGGCTTGGTATCATTTCCGGTAATATAAGCCTTGGACTTAGGAGATTTACTAGTTCAAGGTCATCAAGGCCGTGTCCGGTTTCGTCTCCGACTTTATCAATATTTGACAATGTTGATGATGCATCAGGATCTGGTTTGCCTTGTTGCAACATTCAAAGAAATAGCAGTGTTGGCATTGGTGCAAGAGATGAGTTGGATGTGAACTTATTTTCTTCGAGAATTCAAGCAGAGACGGATACCATTGAGACTAGAAATATAGATCGACAAAAGAGAGTTCGAGAACCAGTTGAACATAATGTTCGTTTTAGTCGAACTTTAAGTGTTGGAAGGCTTCGTGACAGAGTTCTTCGCCGGTCAACATTTTCTGACCTTACCTCATTCCCTCTACAACAAGAGAGAGAGCTGAGAGATGATAGTCAGAATACTCGAAGGCAAGCAGTGGAGCGAGATTCAAGAGTTTCACCATTAGATCTTAGTGCTATTAGTTCTTCTACATCTAGTGTGTCTAACTCCATGTTTAGCAATCAAAATTATGAAGTTGAGACCTCACAATTGCGAGAAGTTAGGTATCAGGATCTACTAGAGCATAGATCCAATTTCCTTGAACGAGGAAGAAGAATACGATCACAGGCCCGTTCTCTTCAGCGATTGAGTAGCCGGTTTGAAAATCAGTCCACACATGGGAGATCATGTATCTTGTCTGGTCAACATAGAACTGGTCGTTGTATCTGCCGATTCAGAAACCGTGACACGAATTCAAATGATGATACTGGTGCTAGAGCTAGCATATCTAGAATTGTTGTACTCGCAGAAGCGTTATTTGAGGTAACTTTAAAAATGTTAAATGTTTCGATGAACGTTAATAATACATTTATGCAATATGAATCTTTTGTACATATTTTAATTAGGTTCTGGATGAAATCCACCAGCAATCTGTGGTTTTATCTTCCCATCCTTCCGCGTCTTCTCTTGGATGTGTTCCCGCACCTATCAAAGTCGTGGAGTCTTTACCTGTCAAGTCATACGAGAAGTTGCATAAACATCAAGAAGACGCTACACAGTAAGTATTTCAGTTTTCCATCACACGGAGAATGAAGTACTATGTCTTCGGGTCAAGTTGATAAAACCGATCAGCCACTAGCTTTAATTACATTGCTAACCCCTTAATTCCTCAGATGCTATATATGCCTTGTGGAGTATGAGGACGGAGACAGCGTGCGAGTTCTGCCTTGCCATCATGAATTTCATAGAACATGTATAGACAAGTGGTTGAAGGAGATTCACAGGTAGCCAATGAACTTTAAACCTTCTTTCACAGTCAAACTCTATAGATATGCACACATATAAGAATTTGAATGCATCTAATCTTTTCTGTGTTTTATACACAGGGTATGCCCGCTATGTCGGGGGAACATCTGCGTTTCTGATTCAGAACTATAGTGGCTAGTTGTTGATCAGCATCTTGTTTGAAAAGCCTGATCTTTTATGCTGTGAATATCACATCTCAGCCCTTTGAGTTTGTTTCGAATTCTTTGAATGATGTTTTTGTTGATATCCTAACATAGACAATAAAATGTATTATGATTTAGCCGAATAAATCGAAAATATATGTTTCTTTTAGAACAATTCTATGTTAGAGAATGCTACTGTTACAGTCAATAATCTTATCACTATAATCTCACGGAAAATTAACGAAATTGATATAATCAATCCCTTGCGAAATAGCTCACTAATCACTACTCGGAGTTTCATATCACTAGTCCACCAGCGTAAACAGGATCAAGCGATGCGCAGGACATTAATTTACTATGCTACTACTTGGGGTCTCCTATTCCTATTCAACCAGCGTAAGTACAACAATTGCTCTAGGTTCAACACATAGACTAATAGTCAGTATTCCTTATGTGCCCAAAATCAGATTAAAAAAGTATCTCACATAATAAGCATTAAGAACAATAATTATAGATCAAAGTATTCACACAAAATTAAATTAACATATTACCCATTAATATTGAAACATGTTCATCTCACACAACCTTACCTAGAGGAGTTTAGCTACTCATAATTCAAATTACAATACCAAAAACAATTAAGAAGAATTGCATATGAGGTCTCTTGAAGGAATGACCTCCAATGGCTTCAAACGCTTTTAAAATCACCTCTGATATTGTAAAAATCGCACTTGCAGTGACAATTTTCGTAACCCTTGTAAAAGTTCATAAAGTCTCTTAAAAAAAGCTCAGAATGGATCAGAATACGTCATAAAAAGCTCAGAAAAAGGATCATTGTGTGCGCAGTGTAACTAATACAGATTTATCGTGTGCGCGATGTTGTGCTAGATTATTCCAGCAGCTGCACGCCTTTACTCCCTTTTCGCCTAATTTTTCACTAAGTCTAATTTCTTCACTTAGCTATTTTCCCCTTATTCTTTTGTCTTTCTTCTTCATTTTAGCTCCTCTTTAATTTGTTTTGATCTGATTCTTTGACTAAATTCATGCAATGACATGCTGTCATCAGGTTACCCTGCTCAAATTGGAATCCATGACTTGTTTCATTTAACATATGTGGCCTGACATGTGAAGTGTCCAAGGAGTAATGGTCTAAAAATATTTGTCAAAAGGAAAAATCATCTCCCTCCATGATTTGAATATTAATCAGTCTTCTTTCACTCTCACGTTTTTGATTAGAAAACTAATAACTTTTTCTCTTAATTTTTTAACCCAATCCAAAGAATATTATATAAATATCGCAACCTCAAAATATATTATTTCAAATATCTAATTACTATATATTTCGTTAAAGAACTTAAGAGATCGAATGTAAATTTTTTTACCAAATTTTTTTTCTTTCAAAATACTAAAATTCATCCAATATAAAAAAAAATGTTTTCATTAAAAGTAATTATTAAATTTTATTGGTATTCATAATTAAATAAATTATTCATTCATTAATTAACTAAATAAAATTTAAATTTATAGAATTTATGTCTGAAGGTCGTCATTTATATAATATTGCATTAACCATAAATTAGTATTATAAGATTTGTTATCAACACTTTTAAAATGAATTTAAAAAATTATTTATTGAAAGAAGTGATAGTAGGGACACTGTTACCGCATAATCCACCCTTTTTTAAATAATGAAATATAAAATAATAATAATATAGAATTATTGATGTATGATAGAGGTGTTACGGGAATGAATTGAATATTTAGTAAAAAAACTATAAATGAATAATATGTACTGAAATTCACTTATGTATTCAATTTTAGATTTATATACTCTTAGTAGTTTGAGTAAGAGTATATTTTAAAATCCTAATGCACATATAATAAGTTAAAATAGTATTTATAGTTTTTTAAATGGTGCTTTATATTTAATTAAAAATAGAGCTATAATTAATAAAATAAAATAAAATATTGTAATGTTGTAATTGAAAAATAATTGAAAATAAAATCAAAATTTTAAGTGATATTATTGTAGTTAACTTAGTATTATTATTGTATTATATTATTATATAGTTTAATTAGATATGTTATAAATTTAACTTAACTACTTATTTACAATAATGTCATTAATGAAAATGTTGGTGTTTTCTATGTTTTTTTTTAACTGTAGCAATAAATCGAATACTGGAAATTGAAAAGAAAAATACTATTGAGTTGTTTTGATTTCAACAGTAACATCTTTAGTCCCTAAAGCAGAATGCCATTGATCACCGTGTTAAGGAATCAGTTCTCCAGTCTTGTCATCTCACCAAAAGAGTCAAGTCATGTCGTCGACATCTGCATTTGTATTTGATCATATATCATAGCATAATTCATATACATATGCATATCATGAATTTTTCATCCTCATTTGCATTTCTCCTGAGGTTGTGTTTTATCCACGTCTTACCTTGTGGTCAAATTCCAACTCACTTGGCGCCTACCAAACGGTTTTTGTCGTGTCTATCTGACGTTCTTCCAGATATGACATTTTTCTTATCCGATATTTTTCTGGATTTATTTCTCTTTCTGATGATTTTCCAAATTGAGTCTTTGTTCTGATGTTCTTCCAAAACTTATCTGACGGTTTTCCAGATATTTCCTTTGATTCTGATGTTTTTCCAGAATCTATCCAATGTTTTTCCGGATTTGCTCTCTTTTTGATGGTTTTTCAGAGTGAGTCTTAGTTCTGATGTTCTTCCAGAACTTATCTGATGTTTTTCCAGATATTCCTTTAATTCTGATGTTTTCCCAGAATCTATCCGATGTTTTTTCAGATTTGTTTCTCTTTCTGATGATTTTCCAGATTGAGTCTTTGTTCTGATGTTCTTTCAGAACTTATCTGACAGGTTTCCAGATATTTCCTTTGATTTTGATGTTTTTCCAGAATCTATCCGATGCTTTTCCGGATTTGCTTTCTTTCTGATGGTTTTTCAGAGTGAGTCTTAGTTCTGATGTTCTTCCAGAACTTATCTGATGTTTTTCCAAATATTCCTTTAATTCTGATGTTTTCCCATAATCTATTCGATATTTTTCCGGATTTGTTTCTCTTTCTGATGTTTTTCCAGATTGAGTCTTTGTTCTGATGTTCTTCTAGAACTTATCTGACGGTTTTCCAGATATTTCTCTTTGATTATGATGTTTTTTCAGAATCTATCCGATATTTTTTCGGATTTGTTTCTCTTTCTGATGTTTTTCCAGATTGAGTCTTTGTTCTGATGTTCTGCCAGAACTTATCTGATGGTTCTCCATATATTTTCCTTCGATTCTGATGGTTTTCCAGAGTCTACCCGATGTTTTTCCAGATTTGTTTCTCCTTCTGATGTGTTTCCAGATTGATTTTTGGTTCTGATGTTCTTCCAGAACTCATTTGTTGCTTATCTGATGTTCTTCCAGATATGTCATCAAACTCTTCCCGTACATTTAATGCTTTCTTAAATGTTTTGGATATACCTTCAGAGACCTTATCTTCATCTCATGCTCTTATAGATGTTCTCATTATGTTTTTGAATGCAGCCCATAGTTCATTCGATATTTTTCCGAGTGTCTCTGGTGTGTTTCAGAGTTCATTCGATGTTCTTCCGGATGTTTCTGATGTTTGTTTCTCCTTGTATATTTTTCGACGATTCCTGAAGATCCCGCTCGATCTCTTCATTTAAAGGAATGTCTCGAAAACTCCAACACTTGTCGTTTACCTAGTCCCACCGTCGTGTGGGTCCTGTGTTACCGTTTCATCCTAAAGTGACAATTGGTGGTGCTTGCACCGGTTGACCCATCACTTTAGAATTCCCTAGTGTCTTTTTGTTTCACCAGTGCGTCGTTGTCCCCAGTGTGTAGTTTGATCGTTGCGTCTGTCCCCCGAGTCGTCGTGTCGTCTATATCCTTGCATTTATCATTTCCATCGTACGCATCAATTTAGATTCATGGCACTGTTAAGCATTATAGTTCGTCTCGTTTCGTCCGTAGCATTGCATGTCGCTGCATCTAAGGGAAAAATTTTTGGTTATCTGTATTTAAATCTCGTTCACCATGATTTCTCGAACCTTCGTCGCTCAAATCGTCCGGTGAAAGCTATTTAAATAGGGGCAACTATCATACCCCAAATTTTACCCTTAGATTATTAGGGTCATTTCGCATTTCATTTCATTCTGCATTACGTTTAACTAATTGCTAACCGGTTTGTTCAATCTGTTGCTGTTGCAGGAAAATAATGTTGGGTGCGCTTTAATTTATGAAGGGCTGAAGGGTTGTTATCATAAACCATATGGATTTAAGGGCGCTGAAATGTAATTGAATTTGGGTTGCATCGGTGCGAGAATCGGCGACAAGGAATTTATTCTGGCCAGAGCACAATTTCTTGCTTTCTGCTACCTACTAGTCGATTTTTAAAGAAAACAATGGAATTTTGGTGCACGTTGAATTTATAATGAATATCTGTTGTTTTGATCATGACTGTTAGTTGAGCTGATTCAAGTTACCAAGTTAAATCATTCGAGAGGCAGTTTGAATTTTTAATACAGAAGACAGTTCGATTTGTCGTTTAACTGAATTTCTTTGCTTATCTGTTCGAGGCCATATTCATTGACTTTATTATCGGGATGATTAATTGTCGAATTCAGAGTTTGGAACGCCGAAGCATAATCGGATAATTTTCATTGGATGGATTTAATCAGTTGAATTTATGGAGATTGGATGAATTTAATCGGATGAATTCATTCAGACGAATTTATTTGGAGGAGCTTAACCGATTAAATTTAATTAAATGAAGTTAGTTGTTTGTGTTTATTTGGAGGAATTTAGTCAGATAAAGTTAATTAAATGAATTTAGTTAGGAGGGTAACGGAATATTCTGCCGCCAGCTCCCGACTCTATTTTTGACCCCGGCACGGATCCGACAGATTTCTGTTCTAATTGTTCTAAGAGAGAGAAAAGTGATTTTTTGGAAAAGTGATT